GTTACACACACTATAGTTCACAACAATTCACTCACTTTCTATCGCGCTTAGACTTAGTTGTCCGTCCCCGCAAACTATAGTTCCGATCTCTGTGTCTGCTATCCTCAGTTTCCGCCGACCGTAATCGCTGTCTTTCTTTCTCCCTGCCTGCTACAATGATGTGATACCCATGTTTTACCTGTTTAGCAATGATACTGCGGAACCAAAGGTTGATACTAAATTAGAAGAATGTGAAACCAAATGTTTACACTTTATTACAATGATGACGTGGAATAAAACTTTACAGTCTTGCAATGATGTTAAACAAGTTTTAATACTGTCTTACAATAATGATGTGGAAATATATGTTTAAATAGTCTTAAAATAATGTAAAACAAATACTTATACTATCTTAGAGTGATACCAAATCCATTTTTATCCTATATATATAATCGTACGACTGATGTTTATACTTTCTTACAATTGTTACGACAGTGGGGTCACGTGACGAGTACTCTAGAAGATTCGCTAGTGTGTTACGACATCGGGGTCACGTGACGACAGCAGAAGTCAAGTGATGCTGGTAGCACGTGTTGAGAGTCTTAGAAGTTTCTAGAACAGGCAGTATTATCGTATATAAGTGCGCTAGACAGTGAGAGAGACAGAGACGAAATGTTTACTCTGTCTTAATTTCTAGCTCATTATGAAACAAGTATAAACAGTTGATTCAAAGCCAACATTATAAAGCAGAATAAATAGTTGCTTTCACATCAAAGTAAGACAGAGTAAATATCTGGTTTCACATAATTATAAGATAATATAAACGTTTGGTTTTACGTCACTAAGAGACCATATAAACAGTTGTTTATACATCATCATTGTAAGATAGGATAAACATTTGGTTTCACATCATCGTTGTGAGAAAGTAGGAGCTTTTTTATTTCACCTTTTTGTAAGCAGCTTTAAACATTTGGTTTCACTTCATTGTAAGACAGTATAAATGTATCATTGTAACCAATTGTAAGCATTTTGTTCCACATTATCATTGTACTACAGTGAACATTATTATCATTTGTCACCAGAGTCCAACTTTTCTTAATGGTTGTCATTATGCAACTTGATGGGGTTTCTATGGGTTGAAGGGTTGCACCAGGTTTAGCAAATTTGTTTTACGTCATCATGAAAAGAGGTGATTAGAAAATTGTCCAGAACAATTTAAACCTTTATACTACAGATGATATGTTCACAATACATTTGTAGTTCTAAGAAATAAATTTGATATTCAGGAATTCCTTGAACATAAACACAACAATAGTGTAGAACAGTATAGATTTGGTTTCACAAGACCGCCGTCAGGCAGTAGGAGGACTCGTGGAGATTACACTCTTATATGGGCTGAAATTAACATGAGCAAATCATGAAGTAAGTTTCATGTTATGTCTGGACCTAGCAAAGTACATTCTAGAGGTAGCATACATATCAGAAAAGCTCGTCAAAATAAGAATAAAAACGAATAAAAGATGTGTTTCTACAGAGGAAAAACAAGAATATTTTACAATTAAGAAGGGAGGTGAAGTACTTGTCATGGGAGACTTCAAAAGGAAAGTTAAAACAACAAGGCCAACATAGGAAGAACACATAGAACACCATGTAGACCCTGAAGTAGAACGGAACCATAATGGAATGTTGCTCCTGAAACTGTGCACACAACAAGGACCTTTCATTATCAACACATTTTTACAACATCGGCAGACTAGATGGAACACCATTGTAAGATAATATAAATATCGGTTTCACAATATTCTAAGACAATAAAAACATTTGGTTTCTCATCATTGTACCACACTTTAAATTTGGTTCGAAGTCATCATTGTAAGAGAGAGTTACGCCACTGCTTTGTGGATCACTGTCATCTTTGACCAATTTGAGATATTTTTCTTCATCGAACTTTTGGATAATTTAACGTTATCAAATAGTTATAAAATTGAAAATTTTTAAAATTATGGTATCAAGAAGTGTTAAAATCAACTATCGTCATGTTTGTTTGTTGTTTTGTAAATTTCATGTTTGTTTGTTTGTAGTTAAGCACAAAGCTACACATTGGGTTATATGTGCTCTACCCACCACGGTATGTTTGGGGGGCTTCATGTGTGTATATGTGTCTAAATCACATTCGTATATAATCTGAAACCTGTAATTATTTTCTTTCGCATAAAGTGTTAGCTGTAGAGCTTCGAAAATGAATGAAGTTGTGGCAGTGACTATTAAGGCTAATTGCTATAGATTATATAGTGGACAAACTTGTGCTACACGTACAAAGCATATTTAAACTTTAGACCTAACTGTCAATTTTAGGTGCCTGTTAGAATTTGTATTCAAATGTACTAGTATTCCGCTATTTATAAGACATGGAAAGGTAAAGCATTAACTTAATACGTTTCCTTGTGTGTTTGTTTGTGTTACTGAAGTAATTGCCTTTAAAGATGTACACCTGCTTTGCTTGGACCTAATTCTCATATCTTCATCTGTTATGGTATCTATAAATTAATAATGTGCTAATGATTATGTTGTTTCAAGTGGATCATTCGGGTAAAAGAAATGGGCAAGCTTTTCCATATTTTTCACTAATTCAGCTTCTTTCCTCTGTACCCTGTTCTGGAACATTGCTCTGTATAGTTCCTTATGGTATGTCACTTCAAACCTGTGTATAAGGCATCTACCAATGCCTGATAGCTGATACAGCTCTAAGTTTGAAGGTTACTTAATTAATGTTATTAAAACTCTTCCTTTTAAATGGGCAGAAAGAGGAATAGCCTATTGTGCACTATTCTATCCATTCACTCTGGAAATGATTTAGAACTGAGCTGGTATGCCTCCCATGGTATCTTTCTATTATACTCTGTTGGTTTCTTAATCAGGCAATTTTGTTGAATTGACCACCTAAGTTCTGAATCTGAATTGAGTATTGACATGGCTGAAATAATCCAACAAGGTTCTGTCATAACAGATGGCACAGCAGTAATTTTAATATATGTAGACCAAATATATTATTTTATTACATATTTTGAAATGGTATTTGGAGTTATTGCATATATGCAGAAATAGGTGTGGATAGTTTAATACTGGCATTTACCATTTCAGTTTCCTAACATTCTATTCTGTCGTTGATGTACTTTTTACCTCAGTTATCTCTTTTTATACTTCTTTGATTTCATCATTACAGCCTTCCTGTACTTTAATTATGTATTTTTGTACATCTTCTATTCTATTGTTATAATCCGTCTGTACATTTCCAATAACTTCTTCAGTCTTGTATTCAATGATACTTGTTTGTTTTTGAATTTCGCGCAAAGCTACACGAGGGCTATCTGCGCTAGCCGTCCCTAATTTAGCAGTGTAAGACTAGAGGGAAGGCAGCTAGTCATCACCACCCACCGCCAACTCTTGGGCTACTCTTTTACCAACGAATAGTGGGATTGACCGTCACATTATAACGCCCCCACGGCTGAAAGGGCGAGCATGTTTGGTGTGACAGGGATTCGAACCCGCGACCCTCCGATTGCGTCAATGATACTTAATTTCATTTTTTTTTTTCTCTTCATTAAATATAATATATCTTCCTTTTAATTTTTCTCTCTTAGCTCTTGGTCTTCTTTTAATTTTTTATAAATTTCTTGTTGGTCTTATTTTAATTTTCTGTCTCTTTCTTCTTGGCCTTGATTTAAGCGTTTCAGCATCTCTAGTGGTCATATTGTCGTCATCTTGAAGTTTAAGCTTAGTCAAAGGTCTATTTTATTTTTACCAAAATAATCCCACTTCTTTTATTGAGTGTGTTGTTTTTTTAATTATTTGGGGTAAATAATGTGAAGTACAGCCCACATAACGATAACAAATTAGTTTGTTTCCTCTATAACATCTGTACAGGCTATGTTTTGCTTTGATGCAAATTGTAGGCCTCAGTTTACAAAGAACATTTCAACTAAAATACTTCACTAATGGTACTATGGCTAATGTTCATAAAAACTTGTACAATTCCACAGCTGAACATATGTAGTAACTAACATTGATCTGAATACTTCATTAATGTCTCTGTCAGGATTTTATGTATATGTGGGCTGAGGATTTTTCTACAGTAGGTGTCTGTTACTTGTTAGCAATATATTCGAACAGAACACAATCCACTTGTTTTAAAGTAATATATTCAAAATAATTCAAATGTATCTACAAAATTTCTTTACACTGTAGGATATCACAGTTGTTTCTAAAACTCTAAATAATTCTCTTTTCTTGTCAAAAGTCCACCCAAGCTGATTCAATTATTTTAGAATCCGATCCACTAGACGAATTATTTTATTTACTTTACTCAGTGAATAATTCACTTACGTTACACATCTTGGGTTAGCACAGTTGTATCTCGAATTTTACATAATTGTCTCCTTTTTATAAAAGTCCACACAGACGGGTTCAATTACTTTAGAACACCCTATAACAAGACAAATTATTCTCCTTATCTCTATTAAACCTTGAAATTAACTTTAAAATATCGCCGATTACGCCAATCACTCACACGCTGGTTAACTTCACGTTTTATAACTTTTTTGTCACTTTACTTTTCTTCACTTCAGTTGCGCTCAGTTAGTTGAATATATTTATATTTTGTTCACTGAAGTCTCGAACTTTCCCTAAATTACACGAATGTCGCTGTAAGGTAACAATATTTACAACAATATTGACGTCAACAATATTAGTAAAGCTTAGGCAACAATGTAATTGCAAATACAATGTACGACTCGTCGAGAGTTACATAACGAAATTTGTCACAACTAACACTTTTAAAACAATCCATTTTCACCACTCCTGTCTTAAAAAACAAACAATCACTAAATATTAAGTCATAAATAAACTAAATAATAACTATTAAACTAAACAGTATTGAATATCCAACAATGCCATTAGAAACTTCACTGAACTAACTTGTATTTATAACTAATTTACCCATGTCTAGATTTTAGTCCAAATTTATTGATCTTAATGTATTGCGCCTTCTAGTTGACATCTATCATAAACATTGAAAATATAACCAAGAGCAATGTGTACATGAAGCATACGTTCTCCTTTTTGAAAAATATTATTTTGTTACGTCTCTGTCGTTCGTTTGTTAATTTTCCGTAGAAATTCTTTCCGAAGAACTTCAATGATACAAGTCCTTTCTCAAATAAAACTAGTTTATTCTTTCTCAATCCAATTTTGCAATACACTTAATTTCCACAGTCACTTTAACTTAAACACACGCTATAATTCTCAACGCACGATTCACGCACTTTAGTTACTACCGCGCTTGACTCAATTGTCCGTCTATATTTTCAATCTCTCTGTCTGCTGTCAACTTATCTATCTATATTCCGACACTTCATTTGCCGGCTTATATATATAAAAAAATAGAGGGCGCGTAGAGAAGACTAGAGTTGCCACAAACAGATATGATCATTCTAGAATCTCATGACGTGTTACTACGGTCACGTGACTTCCGCTGTAGTAACACTATGATAAATTCCAGAGTATTCAATGTTGTGGCTGGAGACGGCTTAAATGGGTAATGAAGAAAAACTTATATTAAAGTTTTTCTTCATTACCCATTCAAGCTGTCTCCAGCCATTATTAGTCTCAAAGTGGGTTCCTCGTCATCGAATTTGAATTCAATGTTGTGGTTTTTATTTACCCATAATTGAGAAATATGAAATGATTATGCCCTGTAACAATTCTTTACATTTAATAATATGTGTAACTTAAACGTTCAGTTCTTTAAAATGGGCGCTAAGTAAACAACAGCTTGATAAGCAAGTAAATAATTGTTAAAACGGGGTAATCACTTTGAAAGACGGGTAAACAGGGTTTTTTTTCATTAAAACATTAGCTAAATAGGCCAAAGCCGATCTAGTGAATTAAAGTAAAATAAAATATTTTTCGTCTGCCACTTTTGAAAAAGCATGCAAAACTACACAAAGGCTATCTGTACTAATCGTTTTTTATATTGAACTGATTGACTAGAGAAAAGGCAGGTAGTTAACAACCCTCACCGCCAATTTAAGTATCACTCTTACAATGTACCCACGTTTCCCACGATTTTGCGACAAAGGGATGCGAATAACGAACTCTCGATCCACATCGTGGCAAACTAACCAATAGGAAATGCCAAGTCCAATATAAAATTAAGTACGTAAATATTAATATTAACTCTTCTGATTAGAGCAAACTATCCACTTAAAGCAACAATAAAAATATCAAACTTATAATGAGCATTAAGATTTCAATGCATTGCTACATAATCAGGTACCATTCCTGTTAGTGGTATTTTCGGTTGTGCTTATGAATTAATAAACGCAGATTTTAGCACACTGTCGGCACTTTATTATAAATTTAACAATATAAATATTCAAGTTGGAAAATATTCTTTTGTTTTTCCTATGCTACCTCTTTTGCGAAAACATAATCTTAATGTCCAAATTTAGACGGTTTTGTGTGTGTGTTTTTTTTTACTTGCGTTTTAGCTCTTGGTATTTGTTGTAGAGGTAGACACTGGTGCTGTTACAGATGTGAGGTACGCTGGGAAGATTTTCATCAAGATTTGTTTGTCATTTCCGAAAGAAAGTAAGTGAAAAATCCTTATACAAGGTGTCGAGTGTTAATACTACTACTAATAGATCAATCACTATACGTTACTTTTGAAAAACAATAAATGTAGTTCATCAATTTTTTAATCAAGTTTTGAAACGTTCTAGGCTTGTTTCGTTTTTTTTTTTTAGTTTTAGTACTTTTACTCGAGTCTTAAGCCTACTTATTGACTTTTGTTATGTTATAAACCAAAAATTAGCTGCCTCGAAATATGGCTTAAAAATTAAATATTTTAAATTCTTTTAGGTTCATGCATACTTTATATACTTATACCTTATTAAAACATTGTTATTTCTGAGTATAAATATATAGTGTAGACTAGTTTAAAGTTCAAAGTTGTGTATCACTTTCAGATTATGCCACATTTTGGGTAATTTGTTTTCAAAGGATTTGATAGTTTGTGGAGGTACTACGTCCACAGGCAGGTTTTTCCAAATATCCACTATGTATATAGTGAAACTAAACTAGTTTTGGTATTTAGTATTTGTTGAAGCTGATTAACATTCCTTTGGTTATTTTTTCATTGTGTATATCAGGGTAATTCATATACGTCTCCATCAATATCATGCTCCCTGTCGTCAGACTTCTATATTTAATTGTAGGTACGTTGAATGGTTTTGCATGAGAATTTGAGCACGTGGAATTTGTCTTTTGGCTTGTTGTTAAACACTTTCACTTACTGTGGAATCTTTTGTTAACAGACTTAAAATGCAAATAATTAAGATGTGTTGAATTTTCATAAAGGACAGAGGGAAATGATTAGGTAAATTATTCATCTTGCTACAGCAGTTGTTTTCTACGACTTGGAACAGAGGAAATAAATAATTGCCTAATTGCTGTAGCAAAAGACAAGAAGACCTAGTATTGGTATAACACAGTATATACAAAAAACAAGAAAAATTAATCCCACCTTTGAATACATCTTTTATTTTTTAGGAAATCATCGATTCCCCTTTAGGTCTTCTGTAAAGTGTCAGCTTCCACTACTGCCTAAAGCATCTCATTCCATAAGTTAACCATCCTATTAGGGAAATAAAACTGTCTTAACTATAGCTTAGCCTGTCTTTTCTAAATATTAAACTTGTTTCCTCTCTTTGGACAAAAGTCTCATCCTATTATCATCAGGATAGAGGACATTTGAAATCATAGGCCTTTATGATGTCAGTCTCCTGTATAATCTTATAAACTTCAATAAGATCACCTCTCTGACTTCTTTTATCAATCTTATTTGTTTCCCAGAATCATCCTCTTTTAAACCCTCTCAAGTAATTCAATATTCTTCCTTAGATAATGAGACAATCTGCACACAGTATTCTAAGTGTGGCCTTACTAGTAATTTGTATAGTAATTTTCTGCTTTGGCATGTAGTCAGTATAACATAACATAATGTTTAGGGACAACAAGAGACCTATTGGTTCATCTAGGTTGCTTTATCCTCTTAACTAAGCCTAAACTGTTATAAGATAAATAAAAAGAACCTCAAAACCAGCCCTTATCATTCATGTAGTTACCGAGCTTTCTTTTAAACTCACTTAAATTTACTGCTCCCACAACATCAGAAGGCAACCTGTTCCAAAGGCCAACCATCCTGTTAAAAAAACTAAAACTGTTTTAGCTGAAGATGACTCCTACCCTGTCAATTTATATTTGTGTTCCCTAGTCCTACTATTCTCACCATTGAGTATCAAAAAAGATGCAGCATGAACACTCAATTTCCTTAACAATCTTAAACACCTCAATCAGATGCCCTCTAACTCTTCTTTTTTTAAGGAGAACACAATTTCAGAGATCTTAACCTCGTCTTGTATGAATACCCCCTCCATCCCAGGCACCATTCTAGTAGCTCTCCTCTGAACCTTTTCCAACAATTCACTGTATATCCTAGGGTAAAGAGCTCAAGACTGAACACAATACCCCAAATGTGGCCTAACCAGTGACCTATACAATGAAATTATAACCTCTTTAGACTTGTATTCAATATTTCTGTATATACAACCTAAAATCCTATACCACTAGCAACAGCACTCTGCTTGATTAGCTTAAGAGACTGATCAACCACTACACTAAGAATCCTTTCTTTCATAATGCTGTTAAGGTTACTTAGTGAAAAACATGAGCATGATAATAAGAAGCGTTATTAAATGTTTCGTAATCATCAGAATTCCATCATCAGTAATCTAGAGGTACAAAACAAACAAGCAATATTTGTAATTACAATATATATATATATATATATATATAAGAAGTAAATTTCAGTATAAAAATTCTAATGAGAAAATGAAAAAAATGTGGCGCAAATGAAATACTTAAAATAGGTTTAAATCAAGTGAAGAATGTGTATTATTTAGGCACAGAAGAAGAGTTTTCGTGTATAAAGTTTGTTTTATAAGAAGTTCAGTATCATGTTTGGCTGTTGAGAGAATTTTAAAGTTGGAGAGAGAAACCAGATGTCTTGTTTCAGTCTGTACAAAGTAACTTGTCTTGGTTGTGTTTTAGTTGACTAGTATTTTGTAAAATACAGTCACATTTCAATTATTATAATTATAATTTAATTATTATAACAAAAGAATGATATTTTTAATAGGTAGTAGTTATTTGTCTGTGTACTGGCTATTAGATGACATGTCAATGCATTTCTTTGTCTTGATTAAGATTAATGAAGATAAATGATAACCCACACAAATACATTGTCTAATCTAAGATAATTAATATTAACTCTTGATCAGAGCAAGTTACCAACAAAGATCAGAACAAAAACCAAACAGTAATAGATACAGCTAGCTAAATATATTGTTATTACATTATTACTTATAATGACTAAATAGATGTAGTTCATTTCATAATTATCAGTAATTCTGATGTGAGTGTGCAAAAAGTTCATTGTGCTTGTTTACCTGTATTTGTTTTGCATTATGATCAAATAGATATTTTTGATAGAGCTACAATGCTAAGTATGTGTACATATTAAGCAGAATAATTTTATATTCTAAGAAATTTTTAGAAAAAATAACCATAACAAAATCTAACAATACAGATGTGTTAGTACATACATTTTTCTAATCTTCAAATAATCTTTATGATCAAATAGATATTTTTGATAGAGCTACAATGCTAAGTATGTGTACATATTAAGCAGAATAATTTTATATTCTAAGAAATTTTTAGAAAAAATAACCATAACAAAATCTAACAATACAGATGTGTTAGTACATACATTTTTCTAATCTTCACGAAGGTTACAAGTTTGTTCATCATGACTCCAGGAATAAGTAGCTATGAAACCACTCAAGAAGGGCCTGGATTTGTTGGTATCCAGTTCTGTCAGGAATGGTATGTCAGAAATTAATTAAATATCCATTTATTTCCTATGTCACAGAATACATAAATTTTTTAAGGAAACAAAACAAATTATAATATAGAGGATACCTTTTAAGACAAAATATAGTTAGGATGGTTTATGTAGAAGAAATAATAATAAAGAGGATATAGTCTGCAAGATATTTACTGATACGTAATTATCAGTTTTTATGTGCTTGTTGTATGATGACTGTTTCACGTGAGTGGTTTTGAATATTCTCTTTGATTGACATGTAGTAATCTTTGATTGCTTCTTAGGTTTACCTGTTTGCTGACTTGATCATATACCAACTTTGTGGTATATCATAGTTAGTTTACTGGTTAGTTCATTTGTTCATATACCAAGTTTATGGTATGTTACAGTTAGATGTATTGGCTAGTTCACTTGTTCATATACCACATTTATAGTATGTTTATTTGTTAATTTGTATGTTTGTGTACCATATTTATTGTGTTACAGTTAGGTATATCAATTAGTCTTGTCTATAGTAGAAGGATGTCACTTATACCCCTCCATTGTTTTATTTCTTATATTGAAAATACTGAATCAAATAGCATGAAACTGAAACTTATTAAATACTCTCTAGTTTTGCCTTAAACATTCACATAGTTTGAGTGTTTTTCTTTAATTTTTTATGTTGTGAGATTTCAGTATCTTGAGACATTGTCTTGAAAAACATTAAAAATTATCCATTTCATTTTTAAATTTAAATGTTATTCAGTGTATTTATTTTTGAAGTAGCTCATTGCCCACTGTATGCAGTTTGTTCTGTATTGTACTTAAAGTAGCTCATTACTCACCGCATAAAGAAGTTTTTACTGTATTTTTTTATTAAAATGGTTCATTGTTTGCTGTATAAAGTATACAGCAAACAAATATATTTTATATTTCTTACTTTAGTTTACTGTTCACTTCAATAGATATTTGACTTGAATCGCATTTTTCAGACTTTATGAAAATTGTGTCAGAAGTGCGTAAGCTATACTATTAACCCAATGACTACCGGCTACTAACTTTCTTAGTAGGCAATGCAAGTCTTGCCATATTTCATTCCAACAATAAAACTAGTGGACGAATATGTTCGAAAATTCATAAGTACTTTGACAAATGTAGGTAGTTTAAGAAACATAAAGCCTATTACTTTTAATAAATTTAGTTTTTTTGCATTATGATCTTTAATATCTTGGAAAATTACATTAGGAAATGGTATTTATAAGAAATGATTACAACATTTATATTTG